CTTTTTTTGAGACATGGTCTTGCTATGCAGTTCAGGTTGATGGCCTAGTTTCTTAAAAAAAAAAAAATCAATGTAACATGTCTATATATATTGGCAACTCTTACATGTGTAAAAATTCCTTAGTTGAGGGGCCCGTGAAATAGCTTAGTCCCATCCCTGGGATGGGCTGAGCTGGCCACAGAGTCCAGGTCTAGTGGTGTATGGGCCTAATGGCATAAATTTATAATCGCTGCCTATGTCTGTACTACCAGCAAGGCTGAAAACAGGAGGATCACTATGAGTCTGAGCTGTGTAGTGAGACCATGTGACAACCAAATACATTAAAAAAAAATTCCTTAGTTGTTTGATTCTTTTTTTTTTTTTCGTATTTTAGGGAAGGGTCTACAGGGTGTTCAGGGTCTCAGTAGTAGATTGGGCTCATAGTGATCCACCTGTTTACAGCCTCCCAGGAACTGGAATTATAGGCATGTGCCACCACATCCAGTCTCAATGGCCATCTCAGTGCGCCCCAGGGGTGGGGTTTGCACAGCAGGCCCGGGGATCAAACCCCTGGCCCCTGTGCCTGCTTGCAGGTGCTTTAATCCACTGAGCTATTTGGCTGGCCCTTAGTTGTCTGGTTCCAACTTGCTAATATTTTGAATTCTATATTTGCTAAATATTCATTATGTATTGGAGGACCTGTATGTTAGATTAGATATTAGCTTTGCTGAATTGTAGTTAGTAGACAATATTTGCTAGGAAGATTTTTTTTCTGAATAATTTTCTTTCTTTCTTTCTTTCTTTCTTTCTTTCTTTCTTTCTTTCTTTCTATTTGTATTTAGTACAGGGTCTATAGGGTCTCACTACATAGATCAAACTCTTACAGATCCTCCTGCTTTTCAGTGTCCCAAAAGCTGAAATTACAGGTGTGCACCACCATGCTCAGTCTTTTTTATTTTTTAATTTTTTTATTTGTGTGTGTGTGTGTGTGTGTGTGTGTGTGGCCAGCTCAGCCCACCAGGGGGCGGGACTGGCTGGCATGTGGTGCTGGGGGATTGAACCGCGGTTCCTGTGCTTTGCTTAGCTTGTTCTAAGTAGGTGCTTTAGACCACTGAGCCATCTCACCAGCCCCTTTTTTTTGAGACAAGGTATCACTTTGTAGTTAGGGTGGGTTTGAACTCACTGTGTAGCCCAGGCTGGCCTTGAACTCGCAGTCATCCTCCTGCCCCAGCCTCATGAGGGCTGGGATTGCAGGTGTGTGCCACCATACCTCATGATGCAGGGGATTGAAGCCAGGGCCTCGTGCATACTGGAAAGTGCTTTACTGCTTCCTAAAACCTAACTTTTAAAAAAATTGGCTTATTGAGCTGGTGAGATAGCTCGGGGTCTAAAGTGCCTGCTTAGGCAAGCTTGGGCAAGTGCAGGGACCACAGTTTGATCCCCGGCACCACGTTGCACCAACCCCATCTCCAGGGCAGGTTGAGCCAGCCACAAAAAAAATTGGCTTATTACAGTAGATCTTTTGTTTTTCAGAATCAGGGATTGAACTCAGGCCCTTGCACTTGCCAGGGAAGCACTTATTCCACGAGCCATCTCCCCAGCCGCCTAGTAGATCTTAACGGAAGTAGTTAGTCTTAGTTATCCTGTGTGAAAACAAGTAAATAAGGACTGTGCAACTTAGTGACAGGGTGCATGCTTCATGTGTATAAGCCTCAGGTTCAATCCCCAGAACCCCCTCCCAGTACAAGAATGGTTTTATTTTTTTATTTTATTTTA